AAAATGTACCTACGTAATATAACCAGTGACTCTTCTAGTATTGCGGGTGCTCATGGGCGACGCTGATCGCTTACCATCAGGTAATCCGTTTGTTCGTTTGCTTCCTATTCCATAAAAAAAAACATTCTTATTGGACGCACATTTAATTAAATAACTTTGTTTCAAAAATAATACATATCGCTATATGACTTAATGCAAGTTGATTGTTACGCTATGGTAATGTCTTCCACCTTTTTTACCAATTTTTCGGTACCTAACTGTTTAACGCAAATCTCTATCAATAAAACAACCAAAGAGATCGACAAGGAAGAAACCCTGCACTCCACTCAAAAACACAACAATACTAAACAATGCTAGTAATGAATTCTAAACATGTACAGCGCACAGTTAACTGGCTTCGAGAACAAGCAACAGATAGTGTATGATACTTGAACCATGAATATGCGACTTACTGCACCTAGTTTTCATGTGAATGCTTTAGTAAACAATAGTGCTGTTTGTTTGGAAGAATTGGACTTTAATAATATATTTACTATACAATAACATGTGTAGTTACCGCAAAACAGCCGAAATTAGTAACCTACCTCAATCGATTTTGATAACAGCATACAATTAATGTCAAAAAATTGATTTTAATCGATAAATTTTAGATTGAGATGGTTTTTAATTTGGGCGGATATAAACCAAACGTCAATATTTACACGGGCACAGAATGATAAATGAAAATCAAATATACACAACCTCAAAATGGAAGCTGTCACTTCAAAGTCTCGAATGAAAACAAAAGTAAGAAAAAATGTGTCGAAAATACTCCAGACATCTAAGCTGTCAGCCTGCTAGACTTAATAAAGGATTTATATAAAAGAAACTCTAGACTTTTGTATTTAAAAAAAGCTACTTAAGTTAATTCACCAACTGATCTGATTTCATAAACAATTCGAAGAAATCTCCGCTTTAAATTTCACATCAAGTAACCGTACGAAACAGAAATTACATTTTGCAGGGATATTTCCTGAAATTTGAATTGGACATCGAAATCATAAATGACAGGATAAAACGGCTCATTTAATAACAAAGCTTTAAAAACTCAACAACCTTGAAGGACCGGTAATAAATTCCACAAATAAGTATTGAAGCCATCACATCAATTTTATAAACACACAATGTTTTACGAAAGGCATGAATTATTACACAGTCCAGGAGTTGAAGGAATGTACAAATCGTAATGAGATAACGCTTCGGTGAAATGCAAATGAATTTGACGGTTGGCTGGGCACGGGACCAGCGAGATCCCGGGCACGGGATTGGGAACAAATTGGAGCAGACGACAAAATTTGCACTCTCATTTACGAGTATACATCCCTGCCTGATTTACAATTACCGTTTTACTTACAGTTATTACTAAGGCCTTGTAAAGTTGCAAGGTTTCTCGGAAATTAAACGGCCGTCATTCAGTTCTATTGCGTCCGTAAAATGTAATGATAACAAGAAAGGAATGGAGCTGGGAAGTTAGGGTAGGTGATGAGGAATGAAAGCTTTGTTACAAATGCAGTGCACCTGGCATTAAATCGATATTTATGATCAGATAGTACTGCACTGTTATAATAAACATAATTATGAGAGACACAGATACTATTAAACGTTATCGTATACTTAACCAACACGGTCCGGTACGACATCGACCCAGCAATTAACTTGTCGTTTAAAGAACATTACATCGTATGTCATATATGATATACTTCATAACGTTAATATAAAAAAGTTGTAAGAGCGCCGCCTGCGCTCCGCCCACGCGCCGACAGCGCACCGACAACGAGCTTACAACCTTTTTGTACCTCTATTGTTTCCAAAGCAAAAACGCCGTGTCGGAGCCGTGCCTGAGCCGTACTTATTAAGTGTGTTATGCAGTTTATGCTGCTAATAAAAGATTAATTATTTAATTATATTTGCATTATGATAGATGAATTTTATTGTGGACTAGGGATAAAATTGATCATTTATCTACATAAATCTACATCTAGAATTAAGATACACACATTACAACAGTATGAAATTTCGACTTCCAACGATGTCATAGATATAGTCACTTTCAGTATTTCTTCTTTCCTAATTAAGTTTACGGACGGCACTGATTCCCTTCTCAGTACTAAAATTACATTTACTTGGTATACATTATTTCCGAGACGCGAAACCAGGAAACATCATGCTTAACTTTTTTGTTACTGAAGCTAAATCAATATAAGAGACTTAATTCAATTTATTCACAACATATTATAGTAAATAGAAAATATATACACCCTTATATATTTACTTAAATATTTCCTTCCTCATTTCAGATTCATACAAACCAATGATCTGGATGAATGGTTAAGAAACATCGTACATGACATCAGGGGGAAACGTGACGTCATACGGATAGTACACGATCACTAAGTAAGATTAAAAAATAGCAGCAACATTGACGTTCAGACGATGAAACATTTATAAGAATTTCCAATATAAGTTGCCCTTTCATTTTGAACATTTCGTACCCAACAAGAGGTCAGGTGTTTTGGTTTTACAGTGTGATGGCTCCGTCATCATATACGATATGGCATTTCCTACATGCTGAAATGTTTCCTCACCTTAAACAAAATACGTAAAAAAATATTGCATCTTCGTACAATGTTTATATTTTAAGGATAAGATCTAATAAACAAAAATATGTTTATTGAGGAAATTATAGAAAAAAATTACGTAAACATTTTTTTACATCAAAGTAAAACAAATATTTGGCAAAGTAGGCATGAAATGTACAGCAAAGCCATTAGAGTTCGTATTAAAAAAAATATTGTGGCCCGACCAACCAGTCAGGATCAAACGTAGGGTAGTACGCTTCTGTTTAAATGACATTGCAATTGATCGATTGCTGCTAAAAGGAAAAGAGCTCGTTTTTCATGAGCGAGGACACTAAATGGATCTTCGATAAACGAGGGTTATTTACGAACCACTACTGCGCCGCAAAAACACATCATGAATGGTGAACTCAGACAGATAAATGTTTCTAAGTGTTTTGGATTGAAACATCATTAATTTTCTTTTCAACAAACTGAGATTGGCCATTTATATTCCCGGGTTTTGACTTACATATCATAACTTATTTATAAAATGAAGAGAAATAATATATTTTCGCCTATAGCCGTGCAACAGAGAGTTTTCTTGATATTTTCGAAACAGTAATATTTTGCATAGTTGGGTTTAATTTAGCAAGTTACGAAACTACCGCCATCGTTTAAATTTCAAGTGAACATATTTCATTAAAGTTTTAAGAGAGTAAGTTTGGTATAAACCTCTTAAGTATAATCGGAGTGACCTTAAAGTTGACTGTGTTAAGCTCTGATTACTAAGTGGGACCTGATAATGTGGATGAAGCACGCTCTTGAGAAAGACAAACTTTAGTAAGCCCTTCAAAGGTATCTGAGAACCTTTTTCATCATCTTCTAGCAATTTCGTGTTGAATTACTTAGTGGTTTATTTGATACCAGTTTTCATACTAATTGGTAAGCAGGGATTACTTAGAAAATTAGGTCCAGAAACGTCGTCCAAACTAGTTGTAATTTAGTTGCTAACCAAAAATCGGTCCTTTTTTACTAGTCTGTGTATCAATAGTTGAAATTTCGTCTTTTTCTACAAAATATGATCCGATGTTTGATGTATACTTTTTGGATTTATAAAGAAGTCTCAGCTAATATAAGGAATTATACGAAACCAATATTGTTGATTTTGAGATTAATTTTATCCTCCTCATAACAAATTCGGGAGATTTATAACGGAAAAAATATTTAGGTTATTCGCTTAAACGATAGAAAGTGGAAAATAAAGATATCGCCAAGAGAGATTCTGCACAGAAAACATGTTTTATATGCTTTCAGTGCGAAATCTCTTATTTCTCAACGAGCGAATATAGGACGAGGAAGATCAAATTTTATTGTCCGTTTTCAAGAAGGAATTTTGTTGATGTTTATTTTATGACTCTGAAGTGGCTTACATTATAATCTAGACTTCAGATTGTTGGATTTAGGAGTGAAGATGTTTATTTGAAGTAGGTCTTATACTGAGATTAACTGCCCCGAGTTTAGCCGGCGTGATCGTGGAGAAGAAAATACAGATTTGGTAAGACTGGTTTAAGTAATTCAGGTATCATTATTAGTGGGTTGCTGAAATGATTAAGATCTAGGCTAGCTCTTGGAATTGTTTAATCATTAGAGGAATTTTTATGTTTTTCATAGAAGAATGTTATTATTACTGTATTGATTTTAAACTGTATGAACAACTAATCTGCATTTGACCTAATTTTGTTTGATGGAAATTATTTTCTCATTTATTTTTTCATGGATTATGAAATTTATTTTTATATTTAGTAATTAGGGCAATTTTTCCTTTATTGTTGCAAATCCTTCTTCGATGTAGGTCAGAGCCATTAGCCTTATCTTGAAATAACATTGCTTGACTGGTTATAAAAGAGTATTTTACCGTTCATTGAGTCTTGACGGCTAATTGACATAATTTTCCCATACTTTCTTATTATAATATTGTTTGTAATGAAGAGGGTTATTACTGTATCATAATATTGTCAGTTTAATAGAGCAAAACATGTTTTATATTGGCTTGATTCGTATTAGGTTTAAGAGTTATTGCTAATTTGCTTACGTTAGTTCTCCGTGATCTTTTTGTAATTAATGACAATGCATTAGAAAATGTTTTTTAACACGAAGACTTTACTGAAGTGATTTGTTTGTTGATTATTTAAATGTCTGTATTTATGATGTAGTTAATGTTATAATTCGATTACGATATTAGCTATTTTATTTATAAATTAGAAGTAGTCTTGAATACGTCATCATCGAGGGTATCAATTTTACAATCCCAGCATAGGATAATAAGTTATCATTATGTTTATGACATTACAAACACTATAATAAATAGTTCTTTTATTTTTAAAATATTTTGGGTCATCTTACCTTATAATCTCCAAGGTCTGATACAGAACAAGTGAGCACAGCTTCTCTCCCAAGAGCAACGGTGACGTTCTCTATAGGTCCAATGAAGTCTGGCTCAGCATCCCTCAGGGACGCGGTGGGACCCACTTTGGTGATCGGCAGTGTTGTCTGATGCCGCATATTGCTCTTTATAACTGGGGACAAAAATCATTAGTTTAAAAGAATAGCAATGTAAATAATTAAATTTGTTGTAGTAAAGTACTAATTATTATGTACTTAGTATTCTAGGATCAAAAGATTAATGAAGAAGGAATTTGACTTAAAAATAGGACTAACTTGACTGCACGGTTGGTGCGGTGGCTGGGCAACCGGCTGCCGTGCAACGTGTCGCGGGTTCGATTCCCGCACGGGACAACACTTTGTGTGATCCACAAATTGTTGTTTCGGGTCTGGGTGTCATTGTGTATGTGAACTTGTATGTTTGTAAACGCACCCACGACACAGGAGAAAATCCTAGTGTGGGGCAACGTTTTTTTTTTAAAAAAAAAAAAACAGTTTTTAAAATGGCATAGAAATCTATGTTTTTATAATAACTATTGTGAGACATACTAAATTAACTAAAAATCGCGGGTTACTCACGTGAATATACTGAAAAAAGCTCAACTAGTTTCGAAATACAGAAAGATTCTTCCTCATGAGCAGCGTGCGCGGTCGCGGCGATGTCGCGCAGCCTACTAACTAAAGGATAGAAAACTAACATAAAGTGAATGTACTTTAGAAGAACTCCATTACCTAGAAGATCACTAAGGATTTTGTATTGTTCTCATTTGAAATATTTTTTTCGGTTTTTCTGTAACAATTTGTTTCGGTATGTAGACCAGAAAATATCACTTGAATACTTAAACTTTCAATCACACATTTCACATCCAAGTCCGAACATGAGCGTTTACAGACATATCACGAAATGCAGAATAGTGAAATTTCGAAAGCAAGCTGTGCAAGCTTATACACATTTACCGATAACTGCGTGGCTCCTAAATCAATTGGAAAACGATGTAGCACTAAGCGATTATACCAGGATCGTTCCTCGTCTAAATTTAGCAGCAATGTTTGAAATTTCGAGTGAGATCCTAGAGTACGGAGACCGATTTATGTAAGGATTATTAGATTTGTATAGACAGATATTTGAAATTGAATTCGTTGATAGTTTGAATATTGTAAGTAAGTTTATTATTGTTGGAGTTATTAAAAATATCTATCTATTTATTATCTTGTAATGTAACACTAAAGGGACGGGCAAAGTACTATTGGTTTTAAAAAAAAAATCTCAGTAGTAGTACGGAGTCTGGAATTGTGCCCGGTATATGGCAATAGGCTCACCCCCTATTACATGGGACTCATAACATAAATAGTGAAAAGTGGGTGTTACATTGCAATGTGCACCTCTGTCTACCCCTTCGGGGATAAAAAGGCGAGATGTTATGTGTAACACAATTGATTTAAAAATACATAATACAAAAAAAAACTGAACTCTTAGAAAATTCTAGGTTTAGATCGCTTTAAGTATGGAACATTGCTCAGATTTCCATTATTTATGTGTATAAAATTATGAAAGAATCACATTTAAAACATTTTTTGATGTTTTGGCAAACAACCTGCGTAATGAACAACCCACGCAATTAGTCGTCATCTCCAAATGTTTCAAATACATCAAAACAAGACTGCCTCGTTGGCCGAGTGGTCGCAAGTGCGATTGCCAGGCAAGGGGTTTCGGGTTCGATTTCCAGGTCTCAAAAAATCTCAGTAACAGCATTGAGTCTGGAAATGTGCCCGGTATATGGCAACAGGCTCACACCCTATTATATGGGACTCATAATATAAATAGTGAAAAGTTGGTGTTAAATTGTACAGTTGCATTAAGTGCCGTAATGTACTCTTCTGCCTACACTGGGGGTAAAAGGCGTGATGTTATGATGTAATCATCAAAACAAGAAAATTATGTCATCCCTTTTCGTAAAATTTCACTCACCTAGATATTTTTAAAGCTTTTTGGCATCGCTGAACGTAGATACAGAGTGGCCGGACATATAAAGTAGTAATTTATGTGTCATTGTCGACCCTCAGTCAAGTGAGAGAGGTCCCGACCCTCCCTATTCAAATTAGACTAGCGATATATATTTCCACTCCGATTCCCTTCCTTACGCTATTTCATAACTTCAATGTGATTTCGGACACACGATTAAGCAGAGAAATATGTAAGAAAAGGAAATGTATGGTCAACCGCATGTTGGTTACACTTGAACTGCTAAAACCAGTCTTATTGTTAACATGGTAAGGTTGGTATCAGTAACAGATTTTACCGTCGGCACTGTGTTTGTAAATAAGATGAGTTTGAATTTTTGAACTAATCAAATAATCGACTATTAACAAAACTGCATATATAGAATGCAGATGGTGTGACAGTTGCATTCAAAAACGAGATTTTTTTTCGATGTGATTTTTAGTCGCTTACTGTTCAATAATAAAAAGAAATATATCAAATAAAGAAACAACTGTCAGTTTACCAATCCGCCACATTTGATAGCTTAGATGCAGCTCACGTTACAAGTGCTGGAGAATGCTCCCAACTTATTTCATTTCTTGCCTGCCACCATTACGCTGGCTACGAGCCAAAACCCAGTTTCCGAAGGATTTAATACATTTTTAATAAAATGATACTAAGCCTAGCCAAAACGTTTATTTCACTGATTTGTGTAATAATTAATGTTAGTGAAATGTATGTATTGTTTCTTTATTTAAAGAAATAAATAATACTTAGTAATAAAAGAAAAATAATTAAATTCAACAATAACATTGAACGTTTTTGGAAATAAGAACTATAAAGTTACTACTCTATTCTTCGTTTTCACAATAAGACGAAGAATCTCTGCTCAGCTAAACTATGAAAGACAACACAGAAAGCTTCTCATTCTTTTAAAATACTACATTACAAACAACAGTATCGAAGTCAGAAAATCGCAGATTGTTCAAGGATCAAACCAGCAAATAAATTGAGGACCCTATCCATACATAGAAGTTTAAAATAATATAGTCAAGCAAAACCTATCAAACTGACAAAGCGTCGGGTCTTTTTAATCGTGAAACGAATCATCGTGGTCGGTTGATAAATAACATTGGACCCAAATCGTCCAACTTACTAATGCGGGAAATCGGATGGAAACGGCAAAGGATATACGCCGCAGACTAACGTTGGCTGGCTACTGACGGGACATGTTTCAGTGACAAATGCTCGTCTTTTGTTGCTTCACCATTAACATTAGTCAAGAATAATGCCGTTGGACCGAATAAGGCATGGAATAAAGTGAATGAAATGGTATTGTTAACACAGTATTTGGTTCTGTATTTCTTTGTCATTAAATTCGTTGTATGTGTTTAGTTGTTCAATCGTGTCGCTAGTACGTCCAAAAAGAAGCATTCAAATTGTTACCATAAATCATGTTAGTAAAAAGACAACACACATTGTTAGTAATATTAATTGAACTTTATTAATAAATCATGAATAAAACCTGAAGCGAAATAGTAAACGTAAGCTCTCATTATGAATTATTACGTAACTTGTATAGATGGGAAACTTCTTAAATGAAAGTCATGATTTTCATACGTAATTTTAATACTGAAACATACAATTCAAAAGTAATGATTGAAATTTTAGTTGTATAAAATAAAGCTAAAATACTATGTTATTTTAGCAACTAAAATATGAAAATTGTTTGCCTCAGCAAAACGTAGTAGCGATCGTAAAAATGCAGATACGAAAATGAAACCATTAAGCTGACGGTACCAATTACGGTACATTCTAGAATATTCACATAAATTTGATTGTAGCTATCCGAGTTTGTTTTAGAATAAAATTCATTTCATCTATAGTAAATGTTACAGTAATTCACTAATTTTATGACTTATTTTACAAAACGAAAAGGAAAGTTTAATATACTGTCAATTCTGGTTAAATATCTTTTGAACCTGTTCGAAATATTGCTACATTGGCTTTGTATCAGTGAAAATAATCACGTTGTTTCACAACTTAGCTATAACATCGTCTCGTAGCATAGCAACATAGTACACCTCTATTGGAAAAGCACTATTGGACTAATTTAGAAGCCCATGTAGTCTTAACCAATGTGTCAAATTGTAGCTCACAAAATAAAAAGCATTTGTTACCAATAGGCTCACGAAATAATCTCAGCGATTTCGCTTACAATTTTAAATTGTGTCCGTCTGTATGTATTTTTGATAATTATCATTAACTAACATCGCAACAAGTTGGCGTACTCAACAATTTGTTGCTGTTCAAGCATATTTTATTGTAACACCGAGTGAATGACCGTTTGGACTGTAAACTAGATTATGTTTCTGTTGATGTATCAAATTCTTCAGTACTATAGTTCCTACAATGTTTTATATATATATATATATAATATAATATGTATATCTATCTATTATTTTGTATTTAACTCGTCGAGTACCGGTTTTATAGACACAATTAAAGAACAATAGGTCGCGGTCACCGGTGACCGCTTGGTGTTTGACAGTTTAAGCTGTAATGTTTACTTGTTAAATAAATGTACTTATACTATAATATTAATATTTAGTTATATATCATGTTATGTAGTCATGTACTTGTGTATGTATGTATATTAAATAATCAACTTTACCTTTGATCGATTACTTATGTTAAGGAATTTGTTTATATAAATAACTTGTCCTAGAATTAGTATTATTGTGAGTGCTCCTCTCGCCTGTGATACAGGATATTCTTCCTAGTACAGGCATTAAACCTAGTGCGATCTCTGATTTTAAATTAAGATGTTTATCTGTAATATGACCAATTTCTTATAATGAATAAAGATTTTATTATTATTATTTTATTAACTGCCGAAAGACGTCCACTGCTGGACAAGGCCTCCTCTTCGTCCTCTACGTCGAACGACAACTCACTACTTGCATCTGTTGGCTCCCCGCAACTCTTATAATCCTATCCTTAGAAAAGAAAACCATAACTGGTGTCTCAAATCATTTTTACTTTTTTTATGTAGTAAGCCGTTAAACGAGCAGACGAATCACCTGATGATAAGCAATCGGCATCGCCCATGAACACCTGGAACATCAGAAGCGTTACAAGTGCGTTACCGGT